AACAGCACAGCACAGCACAGCACACGGTGCAGGCGTGGTGTAGGATGCAGCACGGTGCATGCAATCCGTGGGCCTCTCCTGCTGCAGGTGGAGCAGTGCAGCGCCGTGCATCGGCGCCTGCTGGGCTCTGGGCTGAGGGTCTGCAATGACAATGTCAATTTTGGGGGGTAGGGGGGGGATTTTGGGGCGGCCCAGCTTAAATCAGGGCCTGTTCTGTGTCTGAATACAAAGCAGGCAGTCGGGGTTCCGCGCTCAGCTGGTCCTGGGGATGCTGCGGTGGAAATGCTGGCGGTGATCGTCGGCTGCGTGGTGATGCCAGGAGCTCAGTGGGATGCACTGTGCAATGACCCCACAAAGGCACCAAAGCAGCACAGCAGAAGCACCTGCAGCCACACCGCCCGCCCTACAATGAGCAGAAACGGGTTTGGAAACGAGGAGGGGAACATTTCAAAAGGGACGGGAAAGAATACATCATGTGCACACACACATAAAGCAGCCTCTACCTCCATCCTTCCTCGCCACCACTGCCACGCCATGAATGGCCCAAATGCCTGTGGGGCAGAGCAGGGCTGGGGAGCAGGGCTGGGGAGCAGGGCTGGGGAGCAGGGCTGGGGAGCAGGGCGCGATGCGATGGCTGCGCTCCACGGCTGCCCTCTCCCCATTGCAGTGCTGGCGCATGGCAAAGCCAGGGCAAAGCTCAGCTCCCTCCCATCACCACCATCACCCTGCAGCCCCTGAGGGTCGGTCCTGGCTGGGACAGCACCAGCCAAGGGCACACAACGTATGGATGCAACCCAACCACGCTTTGGAACCATCGCCCAAATGCCGGATGCGCTGCAGATGGGGGTCTGTGCACATTTTGGCACAGGATGGTGCTAAGAGCTCAGCCACGGCTCTGTGCTGACCCCACGGTGTCCCACGCAGGGCACTGAGGCCGTGGTCCCCAAACCTGGCACCGTCCTCAGAGCCATCCCTGCACCTTCTCCCCGTGGGCACGGTGCCCAAAGGCAGCCCCGCACACCCACGGCTCCTCATGGCTTTTGAGTAAGGAGCCTCATTAAGAGGTAATTAGCTCTCGAACAATGGGAAGCTATTTAGCAGCCCAGCCACAGCAGCATCAACAAGCAGAGGGGGAGAGGAGGGAGGAGAACTCCCACCAGCAACGACCGGACCCACCTGCAGCCCCATCCCAGCACCTCCTGGGCTGCTCACACCAGGACAGCCCGGCCCCACCGCTGCTGTTTCCAACTCCAGAAGGCATCTGCTGATGCTTTGGGGTCCCTGTGGCACCCATGGCCGTGGGGCTCAATCCCATGACCGTATGGGGACGGCTGGACCTGAAGGTGCCCCGTGAGCAAGGGGAAAAATAAATCTTAAAACTCCTCTTTGGGGCTGAAAGCAGCAACGCTGTGACCCCCACCAGACCCAAGGGAGCAGAGCGAGGTCTGTGCCCAAGTGAGGAAAAACAAGGAGGACAGAGAGCAGATCTCTAAGGCACAATTAACGCCTCCACCACGCAAACACAAAAAATAAAAACCTCGCCATTGGAAATGAGTAATTTAAGGAAAAATTGCTGCAATTTTGCAGGCAGGCCAGCGGATGAACCTCACCAAATAAAAGCACGTATCGATACGGATGGCCCCAACTCCGGCTATGTGGGTCGGCTGCATGGACAGACAGACAGACAGACGGACACCCGGCGTTTGCAGCCCTGTAACCCACCTCCATCCCACAGCCCACTCACGGCGCCGGCCGTGCAGCTGCACAGATTGGTGCCCAGGACCCGTTTGTGCATTGGAGATACACCTCCAAAACACCTCTGTTGGCGCACAGCGGCAGCTCTGCAGCCGTACCTGGAGCCGTCCCTCCTTCACCCATCACCCTGCTGCTGTGTGGCTCCAGGAGCAGCACGGCTTTGGGCGCCGATAGGGACGAGCAGAAGCCCCGCAGCCCCTGCTGGTGTTTGGATCCCAAAAGCCAGAGCAATGGGAGAAGTGACTGCAGCTCCTGGGAAGGGACGGGGAGAGAAAAGCTCGTCGCAGGCGCCGGCCCCGCTTGGAGCTGCTCTCTATTAACCGTGCTGCTCCAGCCCTTGGCTGGTGGAGAATCGCTAACACGGCTTAGCGGGCTGGAAAAGAGGGGTGGGGAGGGCTGCAAATGATCTGAGCACAAAGGGAAAATGATCCAAATGGGAACTCCGAGGGAACCCACCGCTGGGGTTGGGGTCGGGCAGCTCCAACCACGGCACGAGGCGCCGATGGGAGAAAGCCCAACAGCTGGAAGGCCTTGGGAGCCAGAACATGGGAGAAGCAGCACGGCATGGACAGCCCCAGACCCAGCCCAAATGAAAGGGAGCCACGGCGCAGCCAACACGCGGCTCCCAGTACAGATGTGCCCAACCTTCTGCTCAGCCATCCCTTCCCAGCACCCATTTCCCACGGAAAAGCAACCAGAGGGTTTCCATCCATCGCTCCCCCAAAGGAGGGCCCAAAGCCATCGCCCTCATGGCAACCTGGGCTCCGCGTGCTGGGCTGGGACACGGCACAGCAGGGGCAGCTGTGAGCAGGACGGAGCCACGGACAAAAAGCCATGGACAAAAAGCCACGGCCGCCCTCGGAGGCAGCGATGAGGGGCGAAGAGCAGCTAAAAGCTGCAGCACCCCAACCCGCATCGCCCTGCAACGCCCGCCCCGAGCTGCTGCTGAGCTCCTCCAGCCCACGGAGAGCAGAACAGAAATCCCAGCTGTGCTCACAGCACCAACAGGAGAAAGAAAAAAAAAAAAGAAGAAGAAAAAAATAGAAGAAGAAAAGAAGCAGAAAATGAGGCTTCCAAGGCACAGAAATGACTTCACAGTTAAATATAGGCCACGGGTAAAATCGAGACCATTTACAGCATTTGTATCCGCACCGTAAATAGAGAGAGGAAAATACCCCACACTTTGCACATCTCTACAGACACAAATCCACAGCGTTGTTTTAGGATGGTGGTGCTGCCCAGGCCCTGGCTGAGAGCAACCCAGTGCCAACGCTTTGCATCAGGGAGAGCCGAGAGCTGCCAAGAGCTGCCAGCACCGAGCCCTGAGCTCCAACGGGTCGCAGCGTCCCGGCATCCAGCCGAACCCAAAGGCTGCATCCAACCTTTCCCAGTGCACAGATTGAACCCAGTGCTCTGGGGTGCAGCTCCCCAACCTCACCCTGCCACCCCCCCCCCATGGCCAGCACACCAAATTCCTCCTTCGGCCCCATCCCCTGTTAAAGAAAGGTTTCCAGCTCGCTGCCGAATGCCCCCACGGAGCGGGCAGCTCTCGCCGTACCGTTTGTTTCTCATTTACACCCAATTAGGAGATATAGAATTATTCTAATCTGGGCAAATCGTATCGATTCTACGATTCTGTGAGTCTACGAGGGGGAGATTTATGGCGGCCCTTTATGGAATATGGATGGAGACAGAAAACAGCAGAAAAACCTTCATGCCAGCCCAGGTGTGCGGGTCGGGCGCTCGGAGGGGCATTTTCCTCTCTTTTATTTTTGGTCCTTCTGGATCCTTTCCGATTTCCCCCCTTCTTAAAGGGGAAAAAACGAAGGAGGAAAAGCCGAGCCGAAGAGGCACAGCTCATCATCTAGAAGGATGAAATAATCCTCGAGTAACTCCAAACAGCTGGACCCAAAGAGCAGAACAAGGAGAGAACTCAACGGCGATGCCTGGATGAGCGGCACTGAGGTGTCCCCGTGAACCCCAGACCCCAAATGGGAAATGTGGGTCACAGCACAGCCCTGCAGCCATTGTGTGCTCATCCCACGCCGCTCCCCGCATCCCTTGCTCTGTTTCCACCCCCCCTTGAAGGTGTTTTCCCCGCTGTTATCGGGGCCCAAAGCTTCCAATGGGCCGCGGCGCGGATGCTGGATGCTGTGGGACGGCACTGGGTGACGGCAGCGAGATGGGATGAAGAGCACAGAGCACAACCCCATCCCACCACCTGCAGCACAACCCCAGGCGGGAGAACAAAAGGCAAAAACCCCACAAGTGTGGCAGAAACGGCGCGACCACCAAAAACCAAACAAGAAAAAAAACCAAACCAAAGAACTTTGCAACGGGGAAGAGAGAAAAAAAACAAAACAAAACAAAAACCCAACAAAAACCCACACAACCCCAAAGCCCTCCCTCCTCTTCCAACCCCCCACAAAAATGCGAGGGGGAGGATAATAAAACCCAGATGCGGGGCAGCCGAGGCCCCGGCACGAAGAGCACAAAGGAGCCGGGCGTCCCATCCAGGAGCGCGGAGTCACCGCGCGTCTCCACGGCCGGAGGGCAGCGCGCCGCCCCCAGCACAGCGCACAGCAACCGGGGGGGATGTGGGGATGGGGGGGGTGGGTCCGATGGGGGTCTCTCTGAGCTGTGCGGGGAGCGGCGCGGGGATGGCAGCCGGCCCCGCATCGCCGCGATGTGCGGGGTCCGATCGGGGGCCGCACCTGGGGGGAGACGGAGCTGCGGGGTCGGCACCGTCAGCAGGGAATTAAAGGGGGGAGGAGGGCGTGAAGATGGGGGGGGGGACCAGGAGCTCATGGCGGGGTGAATTTGGGCTTTACGGAATTGCGAACAAAGAAATCCGACGGGGAAAAGAAAGGAAAAAAAAATAATAAATGAACTCTACCAAATCATCGTCATAACAAGGCTAAATAATACTAAAAACCCTAGCAAAAAAAAAAAATAATAATTAATAATAATAATAATGACAGCAATAATTTCTTCTCGCAAACACAGAGCGGGGAAACTACCGGAGCTGACGGAGCGGTGCTTTTTTTTTTTTCTTTCTTTTTTTTTTCCCCCTCTCGCTTCTTCCAACGTGGAAACAACGCCGAGTTTCTCCGCCGCCGCTCGCAGCGCCCGCAGCCTTTTGTCCCAAACCCGGCGTGCGGGAACTCCGCGAGGGACCGGGATGGAAGGGGGGGGGGAAGGCAGGAAGGAAAGGCGCGGACGGAACGGGGCGGCCCGGCGCTCACCTGGGGTTGCTGCGGTTCCAATAGACGGCGTAGCGATCCGAGATCACTTTCCCGGGGTCGTCGCTCCACACGCAGACGCCGACGATCGCCGCGAGCAGCGCGGCCGCCTCCCAACGCGGCATCGTCCCGGCGGAGCGGCTCAGCGGGCGGCGGCGGAGCGGCTCCGGGCCCGACCGGGAGCGGCGGGCGGGAGGCGGGCGGCGGCGGCGGCGGGGGGGCGGCCGGAGCTCACCATCGCCCGCGGCCCCGCGGCCGTCAGCGGGGAAAGTTGGGGGCGGCCGCCGAGCGCCGGAACGGCGGCGATGGCATCCCGCGAGCCGATCGGAGGGGACCGAAGCGGGCCCCGCTCCGTTCCGGCCGTCGGGCGCCGCCGCCCCGACGAAGTTCCCCGGCCGAGACCCCCGGCCGCCCCCCCCCGCCGCCCGCGCCCCGCACCTGTAGAGCTGCGCCGGGTGGGGCGCGGTGCGGAGCGGCGCGGTGCGGGGCGGAGCTGCGGTGTGGGGGGCACGGCTCTACCCCGCGGGCTTCCTCCGCCCGCCGCCGCGCCGCCCGGGAGCACCGGAGAGACAAAGGCCGGGCCGGAGGCCGCCGCTCCCCGCGTTCAGTGCCGCCGCTCCATGCTGCGCCGCGCCCCGCCCCGCCCCGCGCCGCCCCGCCCCGCACGGCCCCGCACCGCCCCGCGCCGCCGCCGGTTCCGCCCCCGCCACATTGTTGCCACCGACGGCCGCGGCGAGCGCCCGACTGCGACCCAGGGCGGAGCCCCGACGGTGCCCCCCGGGCGGTCGCAGATCTGGGGGGGGGCGGGGGAGAGCGTGCGGGGGGCGTGCGGTGCAAAATGCGGGGCGGAGGTTGGGGTTTGCAAGGGGGGTGCGCTGCAACGTAGGGCTGCTTTGCTAAAGGGGGGTGCGTTGCAAAGGGGGGGCGGGTGTAGAGGTTGTGCGTTGCAACGGGGGTGCGTTGCAAAATGGGGTGCAGAGGTTGTGCTTTGCAAAGGAGGGATGCAGAGGTTGTGCTTTCAATGGGGAGCGCGTTGCAAAATAGGGGTGCTTTGCAAACGGGGGTGCGTTGCAAAGGGGAGTGCGGAGGTTGTGCAATGCAAAGGGGGCGGTGAAGAGGCTGTGCTTTCAATGGGGGTGCATTGCAAACGGGGGTGCAGAGGTTGTGCTTTGCAAAGGGGGTGCATTGCAAGGGGGGGCGCTTTGCTAAAGAAGGGTGCATTGCAAAGGGGGAGGTGCAGAGCTTGTGCTTTCAATGGGGGGTGCATTGCAAAGGGGGTGCTTTGCTAGAGGGAGTGCAGTGATTATGCTTTGCAAAGGGGGGGTGCATTGCAAAGGAGGCTGTATTGCAAAGGGAGGTGCGTTGCAAGTAGGGTGCAGAGGTTGTGCTTTCAAGGGGGGGTGCAGTGCAAATGGGGGAGGTAGAGAGGTTGCGCTTTGCAAAGGAGGGGTGCAATGCAAAGGGGGGTGTTGGGGTTATGCATTGCAGAGGGGAGCGCTTTGCAAAAGAGAGTGCAGAGGTTGTGCTTTGCAAAGGGGGGGGGGGGGCTAAATTGCAAAGGAGGGTGCATTGCAAAGGGGGGATGCCGAGGTTGAGCTTTGCAAAGGGGGGGGGGGGGGGGGTGCAGATGTTGTGCGTTGCCACAGGGGAGCGCGGGGCTGCTGTGTGAGTGCAGTGGGTGGGGTTCAAACTGAGCTGCTTTCCCCAGCGGGGAATTGGCAGCAAAGTGCTGAGATGCTCAGGGAAGTATGGGGTCACCGCAGGGGGGGCTCAGGATGCAGAAAGGTGGGGGGGGCTCACATTGGTGGGGGGGTGGAAGAGAGGGGGAGATGGAAATGGGAGCATTGCTGCAAAGCTCCAGGAGTGAGAGCGCACAGCAAGGGCAAGGCCTGGGGCGGGCAGACAGACAGACGGCTGGATGGATGGACAGACCGCATCCCGAGGACAGACTGGGGGAGGAGAGGAGAGCGGCTCCCGCCGTGCGCTGCATTATACATGTTTTCACCTCCGATCCGTGGATAAAATTAAACAATCATTTGCATGAACGTATCGCTTCGCTTTGTCGAGCTCTGGGAAAATGCTGATGTCAGTGACACGGCTCTGCCCGCCCCGCAGCCCCGTCTGTGTCCCCATGTCCCCATATCTCCATGTCCCTCTGTCCCCATGTCCCTGTTGTCCCCGTGTCCCCATGTCTCCATACCCCTGTGCTCCCATATCCCCCTGTCCCGATATCCCCCTGTCCCTCTGTCCCCATTGTCCCCATGTCTCCATATCCCCCATATCCCCCAATCCCCCTGTTCCCATATCTCCCATGTTCCCATATCCCCCTGTTCCCATATCTCCATGTCCCCATATCCCCCAATCCCACTGTTCCCATATCCCCATGTCCCCATATCCCCTGTTCCCATGACCCTCTGTCTCTACTGTTCCCATGTCTCCATATCCTCATGTCCCTCTAGCCCCATATCCCCATGTTTCCCTGTTCCCGTGTCCCCATATCACCATGTCCCCATATCCCCCTATCCCCCTATTCCCCTGTCCCCATATCCCCCATGTCCCCATATCCCCCATGTCCCCATATTCCCCATGTCCCCCCTGTTCCCATGTCCCCATGTCCCCCTGTCCCCATATCCCCCATGTCCCCATGTCCCCCTATTCTGATATCCCCCATGTCCCCCTATTCCCATATCCCCATGTCTCTCTGTCCCCCTCTCCCCCTGTCCCCATGGCCCCACACAGGGGTCACCACGCTCGCACCCCACAGGCCCTCCACTCACACTGGGGCCATTCCCAGCACTGTGGGACCAGAGCTCAATGCTGAGGTCACAGAGGAGCCCCCCACACTCCCAGAGCACTGCAGGATGCCACGTGGGGTCGTGGTGCCCATGGACACCGATGGCAGCTCACAACCCATCCCAGCATCCTCATAAACTGCACCCGATGAGCTGAGCTCCGTTTGGGGTTTGTTGGCATTGAGGGAGTGAAGGAGATCCATTGTAAAACACCTCCGATGCTGCACGTAAATGGGTGGGACATCAATAAAATATGGACCGGAGTCATTATTTATTTAGCAAATCTGTTTGGAGAAAAAGAAGAAGAAGAAAAAAACCCAAACCCAACAACTCCATGAACTGTGATGCTCGGCGTCCCTCCCCCCTCCAAAAAGTAAAACAAATAAAGGCAGAATCATCCGGAACGGCGCTGCCAGAGCATCCTCAGCACAGGAGCTGCTCATCCTCTGCCATCAAGGTTATCCATCGCTCCATCCGACTCCCATCGAGATATTTCTCTATCAAAGCCACCGACAACCAATCTTTCTCCCTGTCAGTGTGAAGCTATCATAAAGCTGTCCACTTGTCTATCACGTTTATTTGTTTTCATTTATCAAGCCAAGCCACTAAAAGCCTCTCCGGGACGCTGGTGGCACCGCAGCCCTCCCTGCATGGACCCCAATATGGTGGGACCCCCCGGCGCCCCCCTTCCCCCCCCCCAGGGATGCTCCCCCCCAAGGACAGAGGTGGCAGATGGAGGTGGGGCTGTTTCCTGGGTGCTGCCCTCCTGCACAGCATTGCAGAGCCCAGCTTTTGCGTGGAATTACTTTTCCTTCCCCAGTGGAAAGGAAAATGCTTTCTTACAGCTTTCCTTCCTTTCTTTCCAACGGCTTTCAGCTTGTTTTTCTGCCCAAACAAAAACAACTATTTGCCTTAATTACTGCAAATCCTCAGGTTTCCAGCCCCCAGCTACCGCTGGGGGGGAGGGGGGAGGGTGAGACTGGTGGCAGGGAGGTATAATTTACACCTATCTTCTATAGCTTTAATTGCACCGAGCCAGAAATTAGAGAAAATATTTGCTATTGAAAACCAACCTGAAAAAAAAACAAGAAGAAGAAAAAAAGAAGAAGAAGAAAAAAGGAAAAACCAACCCAACAACAACAAACTTCCAGCTTTAAAGGTAAAGAGCAAAAAAGGTTCAGGCACGGCTCAGCTCCAGCGCCGGCGCAGATGGAGAGGCCTTTCCTGCCCGTAGGGATGGCTGCAATTTGGCTGCAACAGGAAGAGGGGCCCCGGGCTGGAAATCCTGCAGCCTTGGCGCAGACGCAGCATTGAGGTCCCAGCAGCACTGAGCTCTGCTCTGGGTTTTGGGGTCCTGGATGGGATGCATCCCCCCCCCCCCCCCCTCCAGCGCCCACCCTGGCAGAGCCTCCAAAGAGGCCACGGGGGGGGGGGGGGGGGGGGGGGGGAACTGCTGGCAGCGGGTTTGCTGCTTAAATAAAGCCACATGTGAGAAATTAAGGGCTAATTTACAACTGGTCCCAGGCAGCCACCGAAGGGGAGGGGGAGGATGCGGAGAGGAAAGGAAACAAATCCATTAAGTGACCCAAATGTCAGAAACCCCAAAGTAATGAACAGCCACGAGTGCATTACTGCCGGCTCATTAGCGTCTGCTGTCAGCTCGGGCCTCTCTGCTCCCCTGAGCCGCGCCGGCGCTGACGGCAGAGCTGCCATGCAGGGCTGGGCTGGCACTGAGCCACTGCCCTCTGCTCCAGCACATGGCACCCAGCACAGGGCACATGGAACATGGAACATGGCACAGGGCACACAGCACACAGCACATGGCACATGGAACATGGCACAGGGCACATGGAACATGGCACAGGGCACATGGCACAGGGCACATGGCACATGGAACATGGCACATGGCACAGGGCACATGGCACATGGCACATGGCACAGGGCACAGGGCACATGGAACATGGAACATGGCACAGGGCACACAGCACACAGCACATGGCACATGGAACATGGCACAGGGCACATGGCACAGGGCACATGGCACACAGCACACAGCACACAGCACATGGCACATGGAACATGGCACAGGGCACAGGGCACATGGCACAGGGCACATGGCACAGGGCACATGGAACATGGCACATGGCACATGGCACATGGAACATGGAACATGGCACAGGGCACAGGGCACAGGGCACATGGAACATGGAACATGGCACATGGCACATGGCACATGGCACACAGCATACAGCACACAGCACACAGCACACAGCACATGGCACACAGCACACAGCACACAGCACCCCGCATGGCACTTCTCCTGCCCTTGAGCTGTCCCATGGCATTGCCAGGCTATGAGAGGCACCCAGTGCTTCAGTCGTG